GTGTTTACGACAACCCCGGCCCAGGTGGTACCGACAACCCCCATAACCACTGCTGCCACCGCACCCGCTCCGACAACTGGCAACAGCAACGGAGGAGGCGACGTGGTCTCAGGTTGCGTGGCTGCGATCCATGCTACGCAGGGCTGCTGGACCGAAACTTGTCAAGGATACTGCTCCCTTTACGGCCCAGGCGGTGAGTTGAACCTGTGGTGTGGCGCTGCTGTCTCAAGCTCCAGTGATCTAATCAAGTGTATCAGCAGCCAGCAGCCTTTCTGCTTGTAGTAGGTATACTTTATTTATGTTCATCTACTTTGAGAACACAGGTTTTAGTTTAGGTACTTGTTTATTTTTCGTCAAGCTGTTTCTAGTCTTAACAAAGCCCTCGATAGGTATCGGGAGCTATCAACAATAATGCTATCATTATTATGCATCTAGCTTACGGCCTGACATTCTTATTGGGGCTGCAATCAACCCCCCCGATCCACCAGCAGGATCCGAACGCGAAAGCTGCACCTGGGCTGGGGCATCACTATTATCCCTAGGTTTGGCGTCGCTGTTGATGGCGGGTCAGGATGGCGGTGATTGTCAGGTTGTCATCCTTGCATTTGTGGGCATCACTCGTGAGAATGGGTTAAAGTTTCGTTCGAGATCGTTACGCCAGTTGCGGGGCTTGCTCGCCCTGACGATTACCCGCAAGGCGCTGCTCCGGCATATTCAAAAAGACATGCAGGGGAGAGGAGGGGCGTTGCTAGGGGAGGGGAGGGGCGTTGCCAGGGGGGAAACTGGGCCGCAACCCCGACGTCGGCGAGGCGAGCATACAGAAAAAGCCCTCGTCGGCCGGACGCAGGCGTACACGTTCCATCAGGAGCATCTTCCCCACAACATCTTCGGACGCAGATCAATGGCCAAACACGGGCAATGGTCGTTCCTCCGCCTGTCGAAAGTCGTTCCCATTCCATGACTGATCCACTCCGGACAATTCTACCGCTCCATTTCGTCCTAAGGAGACAGCTCTGGAATATCTACTTCCGTCTGCCAAGATGCTGCTGAAGACTGCTGCGGATACTGAGGACAAAGACCGAATGAACACCCCTGAAGACCGACGAGTAGAACAACACCTTGGTCCAGCCACATTTCACCGCCGAGAGTGAGGAGGACTGTCGTTGTAAAGTATGCTTCCAAGGCCGGTGAGCGTCCGCATGTGACAACCACCGGAACCAGTAGAGGAAAGAATGAGGAAGCGCTTGTTAGATTACATCAAAGGTACTTGTAGGGGAAGGGCCTCAATAGACACGAGCTCACAACCACCCTCTGGCTTCCGCGTCTTGGATCTGGCCATTGCAGTCAACCGTATGCACGTTTCCAACGGACGCAAAAATGTGTTAAGCATGCTCGAAAGATTATTCACGAGACGTTCGCTGCCACACCGTGGCCTTGTGCACGACGGCCTTTTGGTCCGTTGTGTCAAGGCCGCGGGTGGCGGCACCTCTGCGGGGTGGGGAAGCTTCGGCTTCCCCACCTACTTCCTGTTCTGTGGCCTGGCCTTCGTGGTCGGGCTGCAGATTCTGGTCTACGGTGTGGCGTC